CACCGGGACGCCACCAGGGCACCGGGACACCGGCTTTCCGCCCGAGCCAGCCGGCAGGCGCCGGTCGCTGCCTTCCCGAGGAGGATGAAGCTGTCCTGGCTGGGCGTGGATGTCTCCCGGGTGCTGCACTTGGCTGCCGTGTTCTGCCTGACCTGCGTGCTGCTGAAGGCCATCCAGCTGTACCACCGGGGCGCTGGCCGACTTTCCCGGCCACCCGACCCACTGGCTCTTCGGCCACGTCCATGAGGTATGGCGAGAGTGTTTCCTCACGCTTTGGGGAATGATGCTGGTGAGACCTGTCTCTGTGGTCTTGGAGGATTGGTTCTCCCCGTCCCAGGGGATAGGAGAGGTGGGCATCCATCTTCTCAGCCATACAAACTTCTTCAGCACAAGAAGGATGTGGACCTGTTGGAGTGGGACCAGAGTAGGCCACAGACATGATCCGAGGGCTAGAACCCCTCTGCTGTGAGGAAAGACTGAGAGAGCTGGGCTGGTTATCCTGGAGAAAGAAGGCTCCAGGGAGACCTTATTGTGGCCTTTCAGTACTTAAAAGGGGCTTATAAGAAAGGTGGGGACAATCTTTTTAACAGGATCTGTCGTAACAGGGCAAGGGCTGATGGTTTTCAACTAAAAGAGGGAGATTCAGACTGGATAGAAGGAAGAAATATTTTTATACTGAGAGTGGTGAGACCCTGGCCCAGGTTTCCCGGAGAGGTAGTCAATGCCACATTCCTGGAAACGTTCCAGGTGAGGTTGGCCGGGGCTCTGAGCAACCCTCTCTAGTTGCAGATGTCCCTGCTCAGTGCAGGGGGCTTGGACTAGATGACAATGAAAGGTCCCTTCCAACCCAAAATATTCTATGTTTTTTGTGATGTTTAGAGAAGAGCACACACAGGCTACTGCAAATTGCTCAGTGGCAATATGTCGTTGCTGGCTCACAAAGGAAGCAATACTGTAACATGGCATGGACAAGGTCAGCCCAGGGTGTAACCCAGAACTGGTACTGGAGGCAGCAGAGCTGTGCTGCTCTGTCCCGGGGCAGGCTCCTCAGTCTGCTGCTGTGAAAGTCAGGGCACAGCCACCACGGCTGTCCCTGCAAGGCTGAGCAGATGCACACTGCTCCCAGCATCCAGAGCCACCTTCTGTCAAGGCCAGGTTGGATGGGGCTTTGAGCAACCTGGTCTAGTGGAAGGTGTCTGTGCCCATGGCAAGGGGGTTAGAACAAGAGGATGTTTAGGGTCCCTTCCAGCCCAAACCATTCTGTGATTCTCTCCTTGCCAGCTTGCATCGGCCTCACGGCCAGGCGAGCCAGACAGGGCATTCATCATTTGAAGTCATGTTTAAGCCACAAAATACATCCCAGATAGAGCATCCAGCACAGGGGCTACGGATCTTTTTAAGGTTGCATTAAAGCCACAACTAACTAAACCTGCATATGTAACCAGGCCTTGTCTAGGCATTCGTGGTGCGGGTGGCTATTCCCCGAGGTACACACGTGCCCACACAGATCAGCGTGGCCACCTTGGCAAACAGATTTACACCATTCATTGGCAGCTTTGTGAGGAGTAGCTGAGCTGCCTGGTGCAAAAGGCTTTTCCATACATGCAAAATGCTGCTTCAAATTGCCCTGATCTCTCCTGGGCTATGCTGATGCCATGCTCTGGCCAAATATGTGGTGCATTAAGTAAAAAACACACTGAAAAGGAGCTGGGAAATCAGGAGGGGACCTCTTAAGGCTTGTGTCTGTGCCGTGGCAGCCTCAGTTTTGCTGCGCTGGACAGGACAGGCAGTCTTTTGGCAATGTAAGCATAAAGATGGGCCAGTTCAGGGCTTAGTTGTGCTGCCAGTTAGACTTTAAAACTGCAATTAAATAAAGTACGTTCGTCTGTTTGTCAGTTGTGACTATTTATCCTGGAATGGGATTTAACCATTTGTGCGGATCACTCTCTCCCTTCAGTTGTTCACAACTTGACTTTTTACCTGGGAGAGTATTTTTTGAAGAATTCCTGCTTTGCATGTTTAATTGTTTGCTGATTAAATGCTGCTGAGTTCCCCGGAGCCCAAAGTTCATTGATGCATTGAGGAAACCAGCAGTGCTCTGGGCACAGGCTGAATACAAAGTTTACACGCACCTCGAAGGAGGACCTGAGAGCTCTCTGCAAGGAGAGCATTGCCATTTCCTATCCTGCTGATACAAAGCAATTCATTGCCAGTTTTGTTTCAGGTCAGTTCAGTATCTCAGGTATATTAGAAATTATATTAAGGTGTCAGAAGAGGTTGTATAGAGCTGTGCAGTCTCACTGTGGCAGCACGACTTGGTTAAAACCCCGAGTTGGCTGCACTGACTTCCCCTAGCCATAGCTGGTGGGAAGCAGAGGACAGCGGGGTCACTGCCCCGGGGGCTCTCCGTCCCTCTCCAGCCCTTTGCCTACTTCTGCCCTGTGCAGATTAGGGAAGCCAGCCTGGTTCTGGCTGAGCTTGGTGGAACTTCATGCTTAGATTTCAGCTCTCATGTTTTCGGTTTCATTTGCTGTTGGGGCGTAGTCATTAAAAGTGCCTTTAAGCGCCTCTTCCCACATGTTGTTAGTGTTGGATCCATTTCAAAACTTGCATTTTAATGTGAAATGAGGCTATTACCTTTCTTCCTTAGACGTGAGTGGGAGTTATACTTTTCGAGCCCCAGGGCAGGAAGAGGTAGAAGCGATGGTCTTTCATGCAGAGGCTGGAGATGCAGCCCTGGTTAAGAGGCTGGAGCTTTCCATTCCTCTTCCTCTGCAGCCTGCTGGACTTTGCACCCCGTGCCCTGGGAGTGTTCAGCACAGCAGGTGGAGGTTCCTTGGAGGTAACCTGTCCTCTCAGATAAACCTATCCCACCCTCTGTCAGTGCGAGATGGTTCTTTATAGCACAAACTGTGCCAGCACTCCAAAACCAAGGCTGGATACAAAGGCTTCTAGCATTAGGACTTCTGCCAGCAAGGCTTGCTCAGCATCTCCCAGTTAGTTCCATCTATGCTTTCTGTGGTTACGTAGTGGGAGGAAGCACAAGCAGACGTTTGAAAGGGACTTTCATGCATTCAAGTGTCACTCGGCTAAAGGCACTGTGCCAAGCCCTGCTTCTGCTGGCATTGCCAAAGGTGTAGGCGCTGGGGAGGGCTGCTTCCTTTTACCCAAAAACTTGTGCCCTGCAACAAGAAAAACTGATGTTCTCTTTAGTAAGTCAAATTTCTTGAACTTGAGCAAGAGAAGTTGAACAATAGCTTTCTCTCATAAATGAAAGCTAGATGTAGTTTGTCGTTCTGCCAAATGCAGGAGATATATGGGATGTGCTTCAGGGACCCCCCAGCTCACAGCCTTGGAGCAAGGAGCCTGGCCATGACCCCACACAGCCTGTGCACCCCACATCCTCTCCAAGACAGCCCTGACATGGGTGATTATTGGAGTGTGAGCCATCTCCCAGGTTGAGAAACATTAGACAAACTAAAAACTGGGTCGAGTTAACTTCAGCCCCAAAATGACTGAGCAAATATTCACCTGGTTCATTCAATAGGGTGACTTTGTGGCTGATTTCTGCACCAGTCTGCAGACTTAACTGACTCAAGCATCAAGTCAAAGCAGCAGCAGCTATGTCAGCCCTGGCTCACCAAAATCCTTCTTCCTGTGTATTGTGGCAGAGTAGATTTTGTTCAACAAAAAGGGAATTCGTACACGATTTTTTCCTTGTGATGTTTTTCTCTGCCTGAGACTTTGTTTCTTTCCACTTGTCCTTTGGCTGTTGCCTGATTAATATACAACAGCACTGGCTATAATAGCAATAAAATGGTGATAACTTTTGAAGAGTAAACCTGCTAGCACTGCTGACACGAATGCTGGTGCTCATGTTATTCCTCAGCGTGCAGCTTCAAAGGACAAGAGATGAAGCATTCTGGGAGCATGAGCTCTTCATTGCCTATTAAATTAAATTCCTGCTAATCAATGAAATCTTAACCTAATGTTGTTAACCAGTATCTCCTCCTCCATACACTCCATTGGTGACTGTGGACTCATTCTGCTGAATTTTTACCTGGACACTGGCTTTCTCCAGCTAAATGGCTGGAGGAAGCTGTGGCCCAGGTTTCATGGTCAGGAGGCATTGTTGCACCAGGGCAGACACAGCAGCAATGCTGCTGGCTGCTCTAACAGTGCTGCTGTATTTTCTCCTGACTGCAGGGTGCCAATCGCTCAGCCATGTGCAAGCGAGAACATATTTTCATGCTGCAGATGCTGTCTGGGGCAAATCTGAGTCTTCTCTGGGATGGCAAAGGAAAAAGAACGTGCACTGATAGGCACCTTCCCTGGCCCAAAGGATGTTCTCTGTGGTTAGGGTCAATTGATAAGGAATAATTGTTTTATATAATTTATATATTTAAAAATAACTCGCATCTCTACTTCTCACACTCTGCAAACCCAGAGGGATAACACCTTGTTTGTGGTCACCTGGTTTTGTGATACAGGAAGACCTCGATTAGTCTAAAAAAGTAGTTTGGGAAATTGCTTTTCTCTCCTCTTAATCTAAATATTTCTCTTTTTACTTCCCCATAACTACAGTTTCTCAAGGAGGAGGAGGTGCTGGACAAGGCAGAGATCTGGGCATGGAAGTACCGAGACGCTCACCCTGTCTGGTTCGGGAGTTTCTCGGGATTCCTGGTTGTCACCAATCCCGACTATGCCAAGGTTCTGTTGGCCAGAGGAGGTGAGGAGATGGTTACTTCAGCTGTGGAGCAACAACCACAGTCTATAGATTTCCCATACCAGCCTAAAAATTCACAGCAAGGCAGGATTTCACAGGGAGGTTGTCTTGCAGAAGTCAACTAAAGGCATGGAGAGATATCCCTCCTTCATGCCATGTCCTCAGTGCTTCAGGCACAGGGCTGTGGGGTTGACCAGGGCCACTCCAAATCTGTCAGATCAAACTTCTTCATGTGCTCCTTGAAAACTTACCTTCTTGGTGCCTGACACCAAGAAGGAGAAGGCAGCTAGAAGCTTTGTATGTCAGCTCAGACCCCTGGCTCCTACTGTGGAGACATATCTTTAGTGCACCTGGAGAGAAAGGTGCTAAGCAGTGCTGTCTGGGAGGGTTAATCATTTACCACATAGCACAGACTTTGAACTAACAGTATGCTTGTTTATTCCATCCTGGGCATCTGCTTTTATGCAAGTTTTCTTGTAGCTGGGCCAAACAATGTTGGTTTGTTGTGAAATACTGTTTAATTCTGCAGGGATGCCATTGGTTCTGCTCCATACCCAGCCCAGCCCAGAGGGAGCTTTCAGGTGCAAACCAGTGGGTTGATGCTATTGAAACATTTAGCATTTTATTTTTCTTTCTTGATTTTTTTTTTTTTTTAACAGATCCCAAGGATAATATGAGTTATAAACACCTTATCCCGTGGATCGGTATGTATTCCCAGGGCTTTGCCTACTAGGAATTATTCCAAAGTTATTCCAGAACATGCTATAAATAAAATGCATTTTGTGCTTGTTCCTTGATGCAGTGATAACTAAAAGCTTCCAGAAATTATTACATTTATTTGAAAAGGTACTAAATAATGCTATTCTTTGTGGTTTGAGGAAAGGAAGTTCAGACATAGTCATATGTACAAACGAGAACATCTGTAGGTAGCAAAGGCTGATGATGAGAGAAGCTCAGATTCAGTGGAGGACCAGTGAAAAATGCATCTGCTGATCAGAACTTTGAGCACCATCAGTGTCACTGTTTCTTTTCTGAGGCAGCACTGTGTGGTTTCAGTAAGCAGGGCTCTGCTCTAGCCCTGGGAACCCTGAAGCTGACAGCAACATTTGGAGCAGCTCAGACAGCAGATTTAACCACGCTCCTTGCAGGCAGAGGCTGTGTCCACAGGCAGGTGAGAGCAGCCTGGCTGTGCCCAGCAAAACTTGCCTTGCCTGTGTTTCTCCAGGGAACGGGTTGCTGATCTTACATGGGCCAAAATGGCATCAACACCGAAAACTCCTGACTCCAGGGTTTCATTACGATGTCTTGAAACCGTACGTGGCCCTGATGGCTGAGTCTACTAACGTCATGCTGGTAGGACTCATATCTGATGCTCCTCTCTCTGCCTTCTTTTCTTTCCCTTGATCCTGACTGGTCAGTAGGTAAATGCTAGTGCAGGGTTTTCTTGCAAGGCCCTTGCTCACAGCCTGGTAATTGTAAGGACAGGCTGTAGTGGTTGATGTTCCTGAGCCACCACAAAGCCCTGCCTGTGGGCTGGAAGGAGCAAGCAGGTTGAGCCTTCCTGCAGGGGCTATGTCTCTGGTACTGCTTTGGGCTCTGTGGCTAAGATCTGAGGACTAAGATTACTGCCATCCCCAAACTGTGCATAATAGCAATCCAAACAGCAACTTCTTCTAGGCTGTTTTTGTAAATGAAGAACTGAAGTAAATAAAGGTTCATAATAAGTCCCAAAAAAATGAAGGTAAGAGCAGTGCTATACTGGGACCTTAGGGTAAAGGTTATCATTTGCTGTTGACATACCCATGACTGGATCATAATCCCTGCCTTGCCTAACACATGGTGAAACTGGGCTGCTCTTCCATTGGCACAATAGAAACCCATGTGAATTACAGGTCACGGGCACCAGGCTTTGCACACATGGACCAGCAGGGGTCTGGGTACCAGATCTATTCCTCTGCCTCTCTCCATCCAACCTTCCCAGCAGTTCCACATGACCCAGGGAGCAGCTAGGAGCTGGGGGCTTGAGAGCCAGGGAAGCTTTTGCAGTGCACACTAGCACCTGGCAGTTTATAATTCCTTGCATTCGAGGCAAAGTGCCTATTCTGGGAGCCCATGCCACCAGGTGGCAATCGTTGTATGTGTAAGGATGTAAGTCTGTCCATATAAGCCCTGTTCCCCAGCCTGGTTTCATGCCATGGGAGTTTCAGGTGTGACTGTTCTCCTCCATCTCTTCCCTTTCTTGGCTTTTGAGTCCACTGGTTCCTTACAGCCATGAAGAGACAGAGGATTCAATATAATTTCATGTCTTCCAGGCAAGAGAGGCACTACTTATAGTTTCTCTAGGGAAAAACTGTCCCCTATGGGAAGAGTTAAGGAAGAGCTCCTATATTATATCCTGGAAAAAACAACAGAGAGAGACCATGAGATGGAAGCTTGCATCTTAGACACCAAAGGCACTCTGTGCTTGTGAGGCAGAGGCAGCAAACACAGGCTTGGTGAAGCCCAACGCCAGCATATGCTGCTCTACTGCAGGAAACACACTGCACCCCAAGAAATACTTTGGTAACACAGCCCCTCCCACAGCAATACACCCATCCTGGGCTTCTCTAGGGTGCCCTTGCCCAGGATAGGGTGTACCAGGGCTCACCACTGCCAGGATTCGAGAGTAGCAGCTGCTTAAGGCAAATCTTGTATTTATCATCCTGCTTTTGGTTTCCCTTCCCCAGAATTTTGATGGCAACTAAGAGGTTCCCTTCTTTTTCCCAATTCTCTGGGATATATCCCTAGTTGAGCACTCGTTTAACCAGAGAGCAACTGCGGATCATGCAAAACTGTCCCTTGCCTTCTCATTTTTGTCTCCTTTGCACCCCAGGATAAATGGGAGCAGCTGATCACAAACGGGAAACCAGTGGAGCTCTTTGAGCATGTCAGCTTGATGACACTGGATAGCATCATGAAATGTGCCTTCAGTTATCACAGCAACTGCCAGACCAACAGGTCAGCACTGGCAGCTCCAGGCCCTGACGGAAAGTTTGCAGCTCCAAAGGAAAGTGGGCAAATCACTTGTCATTAGGGTCCCAAATTTGCAAACTTGCCCCTTTCCCCTCTCCCCAGGAAAAACACCTACATCCAGGCTGTCTACGACCTGTGCCACATGGTGCACCAGCGCCTCCGCATCTTCCCCTACCACAACGACATCATTTACTGGCTCAGCCCCCACGGGTATCGGTTCAGGAAGGTCTGCCAGCTGGCTCACGACCACACAGGTACTCCCTGCCTCTATCCTCTGGCAAAGCTCTCCAGCAGGCTGGGTGATGGCTGATGGAGGCAGCGGGGTTGCCTCCAGCCCATGCAGTGATCCTGCCCAGGTGCTCAGAGCCAGGATCTGAGCAGAGCGTAAGCTTGCAGCAGTGGTCCCACGTAGGCATGAAGCAAGGGAAGTCTCACAGCTCCTGGATTATTAAACTGGACTAATGGAGGAATTCCCCTCTGGGAATGCTCCTGTTAACAGAGACTGGTGAGACTCAGAATGGGTGCTACAGGCAACACCCATACCAAGGGATGATTTTCTTTTTCAGTCCTGACGTGATTTTTTATGCAGGAGGGGTGGGAAAAATAGGCTGAGGAGTCTGGTGAACAAAGAAGTTTGCAGAAAAGGGTGTCGATATGCACAGCATTTGTTGCCATGCTGCTAAAACGCCAAACTGCCTGGGATGTGGAAGCACACGTCAAATGCATCATGAACTGAGAGGTGGTCACCCCACTTGAGTAAGTTCTGCACTGGCAGGACAACTTTGCAGCTCAGCATCTCTTGCCCCTGCTGAAAACTTCACTCCTTCTTCCCCAGACAAGGTGATCCATGAGCGAAAGGAGTCACTTAAAGATGAACAGGAATTTGAAAAGATCCAGAAGAAGAGACATTTAGATTTCCTGGACATTCTGCTGTGTGCCAAAGTGAGTGGCGAGGAGCAATGTTGTTAGCTTCTGCTGGAGTATACAACACACAGAGGGGTTTCATCATCTAGCTGGGGAGGATAAAGGGATTTATAAGCAGAATAAAAGGGGCACAGAATTCAGACTAGAGAATGATTTTGTTTAGACACACCTGAGGGTCATCACCATCTCCCTTTGCAATAGCTGAAGGAATATAATGTCCTTTCTTGGGATTTGATATTTTATATATAGGTATCTGGGCCACTATAATAGATATCATTTTTAGATAGATATGGGCTACTTAAAGTGTCTCTGGGCTGTTAGGATGAGAATGGAGCTGGACTGTCTGATGAGGACCTGCGTGCTGAGGTGGACACGTTCATGTTTGAGGGCCACGACACGACAGCCAGCGGGCTCTCCTGGCTCTTGTACTGCCTGGCGTCACACCCTGAGCACCAGGCACGGTGCCGGGAGGAGATCCAGGAGATCATGGGGGACCGGGAGACAATTCAGTGGTAAGGTTGCACATTTCCTCAGCTGGTAACTTTGTTTCCCATTTATTTATTTAGTATTTCTAAGTGAGCAACGTCTTCAGGTCTTGAAAGCAGGTGTGCCAAAGGTTGCTGTGTGCACAGGGACTTCATAGATGGAGTAGATACTGTATCCTTCAGCTAAAGCTGCCTCCCTGCCCTTCAGGGTTCATATTACCAGGGCAGACACAAAAAAAAAACATCCCAGACCAGGAGACAAGCCAAGTGCCTTGCTAAGACTTGGGCCTATAGTGTTGTTCTTTGCTGTCTCCTGTTTTCTCACCGTAGGACATTGTAATTGCAGCTTTTCACCTGTTGTGTTTTAACCTCAGCTGGCAACTAAACACCAGCAACTGCTCCCTCCCCAGCCCCCACCACATGTTAGGGGAGTAGAACAACAAAGTCCCATGGATTGAGATAAGGACAGTTTAGTAGAACACAAAGGGAGGAGAAACAACAACAATAATAATAACAGTGAAGTAATATATAAAGCAAGTGATAATAAACCTCTTGCCCAAGACGCAGCTCTCTCTTCTCTGGCCGCATGCTGAAGCCACCTGCTGAAAACAGTCCCCTTTTGTAGAAGGCATGTCAGTATGGTATCGACTATCCCATTGGCTGGTTGGGTTGCTTATCCTGGCTATGGCCCTGCACAGCTGCAGCCACTTGTGAACATGGTGCGCCCCGGCACCCCCCCAGCCACTTGTGAACATTAACCCTACCCTGGCCCAACCCCAGATAAAACCTTTTGCTGTCACTTTGCATGTAAACTTGTTCAGAAGTTGTTAAGGTTGTTCAGAGACGTCTTGGGATCCCAAATTTGCAGCAGCCTGTGGTTGGGCATTGCAGATCCCTCATTGCAAGATCTGTCCTGGGGGCTGATGGCTGTGGGACAAAGGGTCTCCTGGTCCTGGGTGGTGTGGGGCTCATCCTGCCTCTGTCCGAACAGGGAGGACCTGGGCAAGATGACTTACAGCACCATGTGCATCAGGGAGAGCCTTCGTCTTTACCCACCGGTGCCTGGCGTGTCCCGACAGCTCAGCAAAGCCATCACCTTCCCTGATGGACGCACCTTGCCAGAAGGTCTGTAA